TTTCATAGTTGCTGCCAAATTCCACTTTCTGAGGGAAATGATTCCATTCCTTTCTGAGTCTGAATGTTAAACAATCAAGAATATCTCTGTGTACTTTGAGAGGTAGCTAAACACTTTTTGGTATGTAATATTGCACTGTGATAGTCAAGAGGGTGGGTCATATTTTAATGCTACTAAGAATTGAAAACTGAAGACATAAAATTGCAGAGAGATGATAGTGATGCTAAACGCTACACCCAACTGCAAGGCTTTATAATAGAAAAATAATCCAATTAAAAGTCTTCTGTTACCTGCAAATTCTATAAAAATTTTTTGATAAGATCCAGTGGTGTTAATTCCAGAATTTTCTGAGATTTTACTGTGTTTAAAAGGTACTGCGAGCCCAGAATTTTGAGGCTACAGTGAGCTATGGTAGTCTCACTGCACTCTCACTTGGGACAGAAAGCAAGACTCTCAAAAAGAATGAAAAAAGGCACAGTGGTAAATGTGATACCTTGTCATCTCATTCAGTCATCATAACAGCTTTATGAACTGTGGCCTACCATGGAGTACTGTTCAACAATAAGAAAAGATGGAGACTTTATAGCTGGTATATTTACCTGGATGGAGTTGAAACACATTCTACTTTGTAAAGTATTCCAAGGATGGAAAAAAAATATCCAGTGTACTCAGTACTAATATGAAACCAATATATAAACAACTACACGCCCATGCAACTGATAAAACACAAATACAGTCTAGCAAGGAGGAGGGGAGAGGAAGGAGGGCGATTGGCTGGATCTCACCTAATGTGCAGGATATGAGTGTTCGTGCCCCTCGGTGAAGGGCTCAACTACAACTTGAACTTAACCTTACAATTGAAAACAATGTAACCTAAACATTTGTACCCTTGTATTAATTTGAAATTAAACAAGAACAACTTGATCAAGTAGGTAGTTTTCTCCATTTTTGGCAGATGAGGAAAAAAGGGGTGAGCCCAGGTAATCTGATACCATCCATACTTCTTATCGCCAAGCTAATCACTCCCCCTACTTTAGAAAAGTTACTCCTTTTCACAGAAGTAATTTATAGATTATTTTTATTTTTTCACACCTTCCTTTTATTCCTTTGTATTCAAACACCTAAATAATTTATCTGGTATGAGCGCTTATTTTTTGTAGTCTTTGGTATTTTAAATTACTTTTTATCAATTTGCAGAGTTAATATGCAATAAGACTTTTAAGTGAAATTTGAAGAGTATTAGAACTGTTACATAAAATACAACAATATTGGGAATCTAATTTGGCTATGCTTTTTTTTTTTTTGAGACATAGAGTCTCAAGCTGTCATTCTGGGTAGAGTGCTATGGTGTCACAGCTCACAGCAACTTCAAACTCTTGGGCTTAAGCAATTCTCTTGCCTCAGCCTCTCAAGTACCTGAGATTACAGGCATGCGCCACAATACCCAGCTATTTTTTATTTTTTAAACTTTTGGTTGCAGTTGTCATTGTTGTTTAGATGGCGGGGCTGGGTTTGAACCCACCACCCTCAGTGCACGGTGGCTGGCACTGTAACCACTGTGCTATGGGTGCGGAGCCTTAGCTATGTTTTTTAAATTTAAAGCCTTTTTCCCTTCCAAAGGTTCTGGGGTAACCCTTCTTCTTTTTTTTTTTTTTCTCCTTTTTCTTTTTCTGGAGACAGTCTGACTCTGTTGCCCTAGGTGGAGTGCTGTGGCGTCCTTATAGCTCACAGCAACCTCAAACTCTTAGGCTCTAGTGATCCTCTTGCCTCAGCCTTCCAAATAACTGAGACTGCAGGTACCCACAACAATGCCTGGTTATTTTTAGAGATGGAGTCTTGCTCTTGCTCACTTTGGTCTTGAACTCACGAGCTCAGGCCATCCACCTGCCTTGGCCTCCCACAATGCTAGGATTATAGGTACGACCCACTGGGCCGGCCAACCCCTCCATATTATTGTCAACCTGACAACAGAATAAAACCCTGTCTCTAACAAAAATAAAAAGGAAAAAAGAAACTTAATATGGAGCGTTTTGGGGAGATCAAGTTTGAGGTTAGCCACCTAGGATACACTTCCAGGTTTCCTTGGTGAGTGTTCCATTCAACTTTTGTTACAAGTAGATTTTTAAAAAAATTTTTTTTATGGCTCGGCACCTGTGGCTCAAGCAGCTAAGGCGCCAGCCACATACACCTAAGGTGGCGGGTTTGAATCCCCAGCCCGGGCCCGCCAAACAACAATGATGGCTGCAACCAAAAAATGGCCAGGCGTTGTGGTGGGCGCCCAGGAGTTGGAGGTTGCTATGAGCTGTGATGCCATGGCACTCTACCCAGGGGGATAGCTTGAGGCTCCGTCTCAAAAAAAAAAAAATCATTTTTTTAAAATTTTTTTCTGAGACAGAATCTTACTTTTTTATCCTTGGTTAGAGTCCTGTGGCATCATAGCTCACAGCAACATCAAATTCTAGGACTCTAGCGATTTCCTTGCCTCAGTTTTTCAATTTTTAGTAGAGATGGGTCTCCCTCTTGTTCAGGCTGTACTCAAACTCCTGAGCTCAAGCCATCTACCCGCCTAATCCTCCCAGAATGCTGGGATTACAGGTATGAGCCACTGAGCCCAGCCACAGCAGTTTTTTTGTTTTTTGAGATAGTCTTACTATATCGCCCTTGGTGGAATGCTGTGATGTCACAGCTCATAGCAACCTCAAACTCTTGGGCGTAAGTGATTCTCTTGCTTTAGCCTCCCAAGTAGCTGGGACTACAGACACCCACCACAACGCCTGGCTATTTTTTTGTTGCAGCTGTGGCTGGCACTGTAACCACTGTGGTACAGGTGCTGAGCCCACAAGCCGTTTTTTAAATGCAAAAAAAGTGGGAGCAGGGCATGGGTGGATAGAAAGTTATCAGGAATTGTCATTGGTGTGAAGAAATAACACTGATTAGTGATTGGTCACACATTGTTTAGGGATGGGGTATGAGTTATGGTGTCAGTGTACATTATTTTTAGGTTATGTAGTTTCAAGAGATGATTACATAGCTCAGGAAGGGAAATAGGATGTGATTGCTGTTTCATTTTAATGCTTCTCTAGGCCAGGTAATTTAAAAAGGCTTGAATTCCTCAGGTAAGTATTTATATAGAAATGTTTTATTAACAAGACATAATCGCTGATGTATACTCCTTCTGTAGGGTGAATTCACATACACATCAGAATGGAATAGGGAGGAAAGTAAAAAGGAGAGGCATTGGCTCGGCGCCTATGGCTCAACCGGCTAAGGCTCCAGCCACGTACACCTAAGGTGGCGGGTTCGAATCCCCAGCCCGGACCTGCCAAACAACAATGACGGCTGCAACCAAAAAATAGCCGGGCGTTGTG